GAGTTTGTAGCATGTCATACAGCTGTTTTATTTTTCCCCATTAGGTTATGCTCATGGCAGATTGGGCCAAGAAATCAGAGAAAATGAATGAATACATGACTACCATGGACTCATGCATCGATCGCAGGAAGAAAAATGAGAAACTGGGGCCTGTTTTTTATTCACTGGACACGTACATAGACGTCAAGGCTATAATTGAGAAAAGGAAAGCTGAAATGGATGAGAGGTTTAGGAATTTGAATGAAAAGATAAAGGACAATGAAATGAAACTGGAAATATTTCAGGAACTCATCCAACTTGAAGAGGAGTATCAAGATGAACTGTGACTCTAGTTAACACCTCTGTCTCTATTGTATCGGGTCAGTTCCTCGTTCCTTTTGTCCAGCGTCTTGCATTCTAGTCTCTCAAACTAAATGTTGCTTTGCTGACGTAATGTTCAGACGACATTCCTACATATTACATCTTTATTGTTAAGATATCGATAACTGGGGGAAAAAATGAACAAGTGCTTTTATTAAATGATTATAAGAAATCAATGCCTTCTGTTATTGTGTTCTTTCATTTGAATTTAAGTGGGAGCCTCAGCATCTTCCATGTTTCAAACAGCTCTGTGACTCAGTTTGTTATACTTCTGTATACTGTTTACATGAAATGATGATGGGAAATTTTAGTTAGCTAAATGGAAGGTGGCAGGTTCAGAGTTAAATACAAAAGAATGCCCAACCCTTTATTTTCCCCAAACTATCCAGAAACACACACTTTGTTCTATTTATGGTCTAAAAATGAACCTTTACATTGAAATATATATATTCAAATATCTTTGTCTTCATATGTTGCTAACGGATTAATTACATTCTCACATGTCTGCCACAGTTGCTTCTCTGTTGAGTCTTGATGAGGGCAACTGGAAAGACAATAGAAAGACTTCTTAATGGATGTCTTGATAATTCACACATGAATGTTAAGATAAGATAATTCTTTATTGATCCCCATAGAAGAAATTCGGGTATTGAAACTGCACAAGACAGTGGCACACAAAGAATGCAAGAGATATAAAAAAATATGTATCCACACGTGGACAAAATAGTTGGTACCTCTCGGTTAATGAAAGAAAAACCCACAATGGTCACAGAAATAACTTGAATCTGAAAAAAATAAGAATAAATAAAAAATCTATGAAAATTATCCAATGAAAATCAGACATTACTTTTGAACCGTGGTTCAACAGAATTTAAAAAAAATAATAAACTCGTGAAACAGGCCTGGACAAAAATGATGGTACTCTTAACTTCATATTTTGTTGCACAACCTTTTGATTCAATCACTGCAATCAAGTGATTTCTGTAACTGTCAATGAGACTTCTGCACCTCTCAGCAGGTATGTTGGCCCACTCCTCATAAGCAGACTGCTCCAGTTGTGTCAGGTTTGAAGGATTCCTTCTCCAGACGGCATGTTTCAGCTCCTTCCACAGATGTTCAGTAGGATCTAGATCAGGGCTCACAGAAGGCCACTTCAGAATAGTCCAGTGTTTTCCTCTGAGCTATTCTTGGGTGTTTGCAGTTGTGTGTTTTGGGTCATTATCCTGTTGCAAAACCCATGACCTGCGACTGAGACCAAGCTTTCTGACGCTGGGCAGCACATTTGTCTCTAGATTACCTTGATGGTCTTGAGATTTCATTGTACCCTGCACAGATTCAATACACCCTGTGCCAGATGCAGCAAAGCAGCCCCAGAACATAACAGAGCCTCCTCCATGTTTCACAGTAGGGACAGTGTTCTTTTCTTGACATGCTTCATTTTTGCATCTGTGAACATTGAGCTGATGCCAAAAAGTTCCAGTTTTGTCTCGTCTGTCCAGAGGACATTCTCCCAGAAGCTTTGTGACTTCTCAACATGCAGTTTGGCAGATTCCAGTCTGGCTTTTTTAGGATTTGTTTTCAACAGTGGTGTTCTCCTTGGTCATCTCCCATGAAGTCCACTTTGGCTCAAACAACGATGGATGGTGCGATCTGACACTGATGTACCTTGACCTTGGAGTTCACCTTTAATGTCTTTAGAGGTTGGTCTGGGCTCTTTTGTTACCATTCATATTATCCGTCTCTTCCATTTGTCATCAATTTTCCTCCTGCAGCCACGTCCAGGGAGGTTGGCTACAGTCCCATGGATCTTACATTTCTGAATAATANAATTTTCCCCCTAATTAGGAAATAATGAACAGCACTTGTTGGACAAGTGAATTCATGTGTCTCATTGACCAGATGCATTTTCCCCCAGAGGACGAAGTCACAGGGATCATCGCCTGTCATTTCACAAAGACAGCAATGACTCAAATGGACATAAAGAAGAAGTTGGCCAGAGAGATAAAGGAAGTTGAGAAGAACCTGGCAATCCTTCAGGCACTAATCAGATTCCAGGAGTAAGCTGAACTGTGACTTCATCACTTCATACTTTTGACTCTGCATTTATTGTATCTGTTAGGTTCTTCTTTCTTGGTGTGCAAAAGGGAAACAATCTCTGTCCAGACAAGCATTTCAGCTCTATTCAGAAATAATCTCTGAGTACAACAATATATTTGAAAAGCCATATCACATCATCTTTCTAGGCATAAATGTAACAGAGGCTATGCACTGTGAAAATGTGTTTATGTGGATGTCTGATCATGTCACAGGGTGAAAAACAACAGAGCGCATCATGACAAAGCAAGACAATGAGAAGCGTAAATCTGATTGTGACGATTAGAAATGGTTATAAGAGCGTTTAAAACTAAGTTTGCTTAATTATTCCATATGAAGGGCAAGTAAAATACTCCTCTGGCCAAGACAGCCGCTGTCACAAAGGTTATGAATAGAACAATCTAACAGAAATAATAGAACACAAAGTATGAATAAAGAATTGAATAGTAGGTGTACAAACTGCAAATTTCTACATTTAAGTAAGGATGTTATCTTAAAATCTGCCTCTGTTTATTCACAACTAAAACTGTGTGTACATGCAAAAGCAGACATATATGCATTGTTTTCATCAGATTCAGAGAGCTGTGTGTACACGTGGTCCTTTTTGACAAAGTTATAAATGCAGGGGAGAAAGATTAAAGCTAAAGAGTCCATGTGAAGCTCAACAACTGATCCAACCTCAAAAACACAAAACTGGTGAGAGAACCAAAAAACTCAAACCTGGTAAACATGAGGAGCACATGGAGCATAGTGATGTAGTCAGGCAGGAACCTGGTGGAGATCAGGAGATGAAACAGGAAGCAAAACACAGGGGCAGCAAACAGAAAACAGGCAACTAAACAGGCAGGTATCCAGCAGGGTGGCAGGAGGAGGACAACATCAGGAGACAAGACACAGGTGAAACAGATCAGAGCAATCAGAAGGAAGGAAACAGACTGAGACAGGAAGTAAAGACAGAAAAAGACACACAAGGGCAGAGAATGTCAAAATAAAACAGGAAATAAACAACACAGAGCCCATGTCTTGATTAATTGATGAAACTCGATCGTGAAATTATACACACACGCTCAAGCCTGATTTCAACTCCCTGTTCTTCAGAGATAAAGGATCTAGACACTTCCTTAAAGAATCTCTTTCATTTTAAACCATTTGCAAGTTATGAGACATTAGCAATGAAAGTCAAAGCTGAATTTTAGCAAATGTAAAATTGAAACATACTTGGTCAAGTGGAGAAAAGCAAATGTGTTTTATTTGGTGGTTCCAACTCTGGAATCTCACACTGAACATAAAATACTGAATGTTATGAGCTTTAAAACTCTTTATTCATTTTTACCTGATCTTGAGGCCGTTCTTCTCTTGGTGTCAAGTAGAGTTGTAATAGTTTCTAGGGTTGGTCCAAATCGCAATTTCTGGTCCCCGGATATTTGGGCCCGATTAATGAAGAATATCACACACCACACACGACAGGTCTTTTAATCTGATCACTGTAATGAGTGAAATTCTCTGAATGTTAGTGTCTCTTTGCTATCCCCTTTCAGAAACCAAAAATACACACTATCGACAGGGGATTAAAACCTATGTTTGTCTGCTGGAAGCTTTGTTTTGCTTGATATCAGTCACAGATCTGGATTGATTCCAACTCTCAGTGTCCACAGTGTTGTTTCCATTTAAGTGTTCCTGCTGTAACGTTCCCATAC